CTGCAAGAATCTTCTTTCGCCTAAAAGTGGAATATATATGGCGGGGAGTAAGCAGTTTGAAACCATGTAAGCCCAAGATTAGTTAAATAATTTATACTTGGGAGTTTGGATATAGACCTACTTTACTGCACTCAAAAAAGAAAATTTGAGAGAAATATTCATTTATATACTTTGTTTATTCATTCAATGATTTATTTATTTACTTACTTACTATCTATTTTCTTATATTCATATCAATTTATTGATTGATTATAAATTTGCTTGTTATTCTTTTTAATTTATTTATCTATTTATTCATTTACAGCCGAACAAACAATACGTTGTTCCTCTACCTCGGGGTTACCGGCACTGCGGTCTATCAACATATATATTACTCTTCTTGCAAAACGGAGACAACAAGCAGCAAAATTCACGAATGATGCATACAAGAATATATTAAAGCTGTGTACCTTGTGGGTTTTACTAGGATTGTCACACAAAGAATGGCGGTAAGAACTGCAATGGTGGCAGCACCAGATATTACGATGATGAGCATGTAGTTCGGTAGGGATCGAGATACGGCACCTACTGTGGTTTGAACCAACAAAAAGAAAAGCGGGTCCATAAACATGACACATATTTATAATTGACACACACACACACACACCCACTATCTTTCTCTTTCTCTCTCTCTCTCTCTCTCTCTCTCTCCCTCTCTTTCTCTCCATCTCACTTTCACTCCCAATGTTTCATGAATTTGGTTGATAAAATGTAAAGCTTAAAGTACCTTTGAACTCATTGAACATTATTTCCAATATCCAAGGGGAACAATAAGTTTACCACATGAGAAGAAAGGAGCAACGTATCCAAAACATTTTACCCACCCCCCTCTCTCTCTCTCTCCTAGCGTCTATATATCCATGTATGTCGCTGTGTGTTTAGGTTAAGTTACTGATTTTAGAAGAAACAGCTTTATGATTAGGGGGTCTCTCTTATTTGAAAGATGTAGGGAAGAACTTGTGAGCAGTTCTGTGCAACGTGTTTTTTGTTTACACCTAATTCACCAAAGAATAGAATCTCTCTATAGCTAACCATTGAAAAATGTTCTGTAACAACCATTAGGTAATTGCCACATTGACAGATAGATGAAATAATTGATAAAAGTTCTATGTCGTACGGGACGCATTGCACGGAAACGCCCTTGTATTTCACGTTTGTCCTCAGTTAAACAATACTTTGAAGTGACTACAATCAAACCTGTCTAAAAGTGGCCACCTCTCTAGAAAGGCTACCTGTCTACAACGTCTACTTTGTCTGTGGCCATTGGGTGGCCCTTAATAGACAGGTTCAACTGTAGCTGTAATAGCGCTTCAATATTTATGAACATAGTGCATAGAAAGGGTTGTTTCACTGGAAACCTTTTTGTGCTCAGCTAATTTTTGATGATTTCATAATCATTGATATCTAGCTGCATACCTGTTGTCTCGCCGTCGAGTTCAGTTGTGCCAATGGTTGTCCGGCCGGACAACGGCTCGCTCACCGTACTTAAGACAGTAAACATGGTACGTGGGACAGTGGTAGATGCCATTGGTGTAGATGTGGATGACGACGACGACGATGACGATGATGATGTAGTGTTGGCTGTTATGAGAAACATGACATTTAATAGAATGGATTTTGCAGGCTCAAGTGGGATACCTCTTCGTCCTGGAAGAAGTATTACGATTAGACACGATCGCAATTACTAATTAGTTTCATAAAGATAATCCAGGGCGATCTCAATAACCCTGCTCATTATCTATTAAAATGTGTGAACATGTCAAAGACATGTTAGAACAAACAAAAACAAGCAAAACAACATACGTAACACTTAGACAAATTAGTTTTCCTGATATTTCTTTTTTATTGTCACAGGCCTATGATAGATGGAAGCATAAAATGTGGCATGAGGTTGGGGAGGAGGGTAGTTTGAGAGAGCGATGCTGTTGATTGCTCTATATGATACTATATACATTGTGTACAGCAGAATTAATATTACAATTAGTTCACCCTTCACGTTCAATAAACATGTGGAAAGCCTAAACGAATAGCGTTAGATGTAATTTGCTTATCTGTTCATCAACCAACAAACAAAAAACAAACACAATTAGCAAACAAACAAACAAACTGCCAGGAATTTGATGATCACAAATGGAATCACTGAATCATTTGACAACCATTGTTTAAACCTGGTGTAGAGTGACACCATTGAGGTTGGTGACGTCACTATTGACTTAAAAAGACGGCACTGAGGATGATATCGCAGTTTTCACAGTTTCTATATTATTGTAAGTTTCTAACAATACCATAGTTCATAGTCATAAAGCATTATTTGAGTTTCTAAAATGATAATTGTCAAATTCCTTTGGCCATATCTTGAAACAAATACATGAATAATATAAATCGGGCAATAAAAGCGTTTGTAAATGAGTGGTGCGTCAGACAACGTTGTGAGACTACTCCTTGTAGGTTACTTCCGAGCCTCCATGTTCCTTTATGCGTAAGAATACTAGAATATACGCTTCACAGCATTTGAAGAATGACATTTTAACGATTCTGATACATTCGACCCCTAGCAAAACTTCTCCAGGACAACCAACCCTAAGACAAAGTAGTCCTCCACATCCCTCTAGATGTATAACAAATGTCACATTTGTACGTATATTAAGACGTTACGTGAATTATTGAATCAAATTTATACTTACATGTTCGTATATATACAGGTCTGCAATAGAAGATATCAAAGATGATTGGAACAGAAAACGCAAACAATTCACTTTTTTCCTGTAATTACCTCTGATCGTGATAAAAAAGTATGTTAATGATGAAGATTAACAACTGTCTCTTCTCCAATGCTCTGGATCGAACTAAATGTCGGATTGCATTTCGCAAGTTATATTTGGTGAATTGTATTATCTGCGGTGTGAATATGTTTGCACTTTTTCATTTCCTTATTGTTTCATGATTATCTCGTACATCATTTTTATGAAGGGATTTTTTTATATATTTTTTTTTTATTAATTTGACCTTAAGCTTGGATATCACAAGGTTACATTTTATCTAAACACAGTACTTGCTATTTATTTTTCACGATGATTATTGACACATTGGTTTTGATCTTTATATGCGTCAACTATTTATTATGTATATGTATAGTTACATGGTTACAGGTATGTCAATGATCTGAATGAAATGACTTCATGACACTATCTATAAGATCAATGGAGAGATTTTTTTGGGGAAAATTCCAGACATCAATCGTGTATCTGTCGTCTTCAGTCGCATTTTTACGCTATCTTGAGGTACGGAATAAAACACAAAAGGAAACACTTTCAGTACTTAAGAATAGTTTATTCAAAATAGAGCTCACAATCTTAAAGAGTACGAGGCTAGCACTGTGACTATTTGCAAATTGTACATATTAGGAGAAAAACGTGTGTACTAAAGCTACAACATGCTCTTTAAATGTGTATTATGATTACAAATTCTGGAATCTCTTATTCTTAGTTTTAATTAATAATTTTTGACTGATGTCTTCATCACATACAATTGACCAATCCAGTCTTTAGATGTCATACCAAAGATAATGCACACATTGTTAATATAATTGTGTTTATATTTCTATTAAATGTTTTATAATTATCTTGTATTACGAATTTCAATTAAACACAAAAATGTCACCTTCTATTTCCCTAACGTTACTGATTTTTTTTGAGGGATTGAAAAGGAAAGAGAAAATAAGAGATACAGAGACAGGAGAGGAAGAGAGAGACAGGGAGGGAGAGAGAGAGAGAGAGCGAGAGCGAGAGACAGAGACATATTAAGACAGATAAATTGAGTGAGAGAAAGGGAAAGATAGAATGAGAGTGGGAGAAAAAAAGGGGACAGGGGGGAGAGAAAAAAAGAGGTATATATATATATTCACACCATACGCTATTAAACTATCTAGTCAACCAATCAATCGATTGATCGATGAATAAAACATAAGCATTTAAACTAATAATTAATTGAAATACTTTTAACGTCAGATAAATGAGATAAACATTTGTGATGATATCAACCCTCACATTGTAAACGTTACGCAGTCAAACCTGTTTTAGTTGCCACCTCTCTTTAAAGGCCACCTGTCTATAGTGGCCATTCGTTCGGTCTCCCTCGAGACACCAAAAATGTGTGTTGTAGAATATTGTCTGCAGTTTTCTCTTTTCATTGAGTGGCCTTACTAGACAGGTATTTCATTTATTTCTTTACAAGTTACTTTTAACACAATGTCATGCAAATGATTAAGATGACTTATAAAACGATCTTATTTTAAAACAGATTTATGGATTACTTTCGAAATATTTACGATAATATACGTTTTCAAATAAATTCGTAGTTTCATAAAATTAATTTTCTTCAGAATATTGTTATCTTGCTAATAAAATCTTACAAACATATCCTTTGAGAGTTTAAGTTGGTTTTCTTTACGAGGTATTTCAAATGAGTAATGATATCTCTTTTACATTCTAGAAACATAACATGCTCCCGGGCTGCGATGTATATTTTGAATAACTAAACCATTATTATTATTTCAAATAAAATTAAAACAAACATCTTATAAATTGAAATTCGAGCATACAATAAGATAATATGCAGGAGAATACTCCCGAGTTAAAGATGAAGTTGAGTTCTGGTCATGCGATTGCATTGTGAAAGAAAAGGTGTGGAATGGATCAGGAAAAGTCGACCATGTAGCATGTAAGTATTGGAGTGTACTGCAAAGTTCTGGAGTCATCAAAATCATAATAAATTTTGGCCCAATCTTGGTGAAGTAACAAGCGCTGTACACATAAAGATGTATGTGGGACTACTCAAATGGTGTCGGGCCTACTTACCTTGATTTCCTTATCTTTCTATATGCTCATTACTCAGCCAGTATAAATTTTTTACCAAAATTGTTTGGCAAATGACATTTATTTGTAATCTTGAACATTCAGTGTAAGTCTCGATTTTTTGAGAATTAATTTTAAAACAAAACAGAACTCAAGTTTATTTTTAATGATTTACATGAAAATACAAGAAAATACAATGAGTAACTCATCACCCCAATACACCCAAAGTAAGCGCATACACGTATGTGTAAAACCTGAATAATATAAAAGCAAAAATATCAAATAACATTTTACTGCTAATGATCCTTATGAAAAAAATATGTTCACAGAATACGTAAGCAAAAGAAAATACATACATAGGCAGGCAGTTACAAATACTGCCCAGTCATTTTCTTTAAACAAAATTGAGACATTCGCTTAAATTAGTATAGTAGAGCCCCCCGCCCCTTTTCAATAACCATAAGTCAATTTTCAATCTTAAACTGTGTATGAATGAAACGATCTGCCTATGTAAATCAAATGAAAACGTGTAACATCACTGAAAGATTTATTTGTTATCGTTTTTCCTCAGAAGTAGTAAAAATGACTCAGGTATTTTTTGTTATCAAATGTCACGATTTGTCATTTAAATATTGATTATTATTCATCGTAGTTACGGTCATTAAGTTCACGAGCAATATCACTATAGACCACACTGAGATCCATGTTGCTCCGTCCGTGATCTTTATCGGTGTGATCGTCGACGGGGTCGCCGTTGTAATCATACACGGTGTCGTACATATCGTTTTCAAACCCATGGTTCATCGTGTCTATATCATGCACAGAATCAGGCATGGAAGGCTCATGGTGATCAAATTCAGAGTGCCGACCTTCCATCTCGATACTTCATCTGCACAGCCACAGAAAAAAAAGAATGACATGCCTTTCAGTAATGATTTAATGTTTAATAATTATCAAGACATATCACATAAGCAAAGTAATTACACAAAGAAGTAGATCGAATAAAGAAGAACAATTCATAAAACAAAATGCTAGACTGAAGTTATACATTGACTTATTTTGAATAATTTTGTTTTTAAGCATCAGCGACCATTTGGGACCGCGTGGTAAAACCAAACATCATTGTTATCACGCTGTCTAGCAAGAGAAGTATTATTCTTTCTTCAAAATAGTTTTTTCATTTAGAATTCCTAAATTGAATTCAACACGAGGTAAATCTTAACTTGCTAACCTTTAAGTTATTTGTATTTTGTCATTTTTAAGACAGGTTAGAAACGAATAAATGATCACTATTAAACATGACGATACACCCTCTCCCCTCCCCTCTAAAAAGAGGAAATACAGCCAGCCCGAAGCAAATATCAATTTCTTTCTGTCCATTTCAAAATCAAAACAATATATTTTACATGTATATAATCCTTCTCATAATTCAAACAATAAGTTCCAGTAAAAAAAAAAGATACTTAAAGGTTCAGTACCTGTAACTCATCGGGTTCTTCACTTCGCGAGAAGTATCCGGTGTTGGAGTGATTCCTCATGAAGCGCTTGATGTTTTGGGAATGTTTCCTTCGTCTCATCCGAGGGATGATCATGTACGCCATCACCAATACGAAGAGAAGTAGAAAGGCTACTGTAGCTGTTAAGCCAGCTATCAAACCCACATTTAATGAACCTCCTGTAATTGTAACGAAAAGGAAAAGAAAGGTATACATCTGAATTGATTCAATTCAATTCAGTTCCGGTTTATTTTTATTTTAAAAAAGAGAGAAAAACAAAAAAAATTAATGTAAAAGTCCGGAGATTAATATCATCATATTTACAGTAAAATAAAGTAAAATACGAAATACAACTTATCATTGATCCTATAAGCCAATAAAATATTGTTGGGGTTACGTTTAAGATTAGATCTAGTGCTTTAGTAGCGGTTATGTTAGGAGTAGATGAAGTCTAATACCAAACTGCAAATATTACATACAAATATAATATTATGACATGTTTTTCACTTTCCACTTCTTGTTGATTTGCATCTCATCCACCAAAGTACGAGCGGTTCCCCCTTGCCCCCCCCCTCCCCCGATCCCAACGCTAGCGACCCATTCATGTTTAGGGCTATGCCTCTGACAACATCATCTAAACCGTTTAGCATACCTGGCACAGCCCTGCAGTAACGTCCCGGGAGTGAACTTGGATAGAGATCGATGAATCCGCCATTACATGTACAGTTAAAACCGACTCCAGAAATATCCCTACACGATGCATCCATAGAACAGTCGTTAAGAGTAGCGTTCCCACATTCATCGTAATCCATAATTTCTATAATGAAAAAATAAATGAAATGATGTTGAAAATAATGAGTTCGGACTAAATTCCGTTTAGAAAGACGTAAACATCAGCAATGGAAATGGTAGATCAAGTTGTCTGGCATTAGTTTTTTCCACATAATATTATCTGAGATCTTTTTAGCCTTGATATTGAAAACAGAATTTCGTTTTTGTATAGCACATAACATATGAAACAACTTCTCAGTGGCCACTTTGAAATTCATTAGCCAGCTTTAGCTCCGGCAGTTAGGATCAGCGCACAGTACATTCGAAGACTAAACTATGTACATGTACCAGATAGATGAAGAAAAGGATATTTAGATTGTACTGTTTTGTCAAAAAAATGTTAATATTAATATTAATGTTAATATTATGCCGAGGTTTGAATCCACGACTTTTAATCCCACGCCTTTGATACATCTACTTCTTGATGAGATGGCTGTAAAATCGTTTCCCTGTTCGTTTTTTTTCTTCGATTGATTACCAAAGTTTTTTTTAAAGAAATAAATCAAAATGAATCCGTCTTACCTGCCACAGTCAGTGATCTCAAACCTATTTGGATGTCCTCATCATCGACAGCGAGATGTTCATCGTTGTTCTCTCCCTCCTCCGTAATAGCAGAGGTCATGGTAGTCCCGTTACCTGCAATGGCAAGGTTCAGAGTTAAAGGTTCACCTTTCAAGCTCTAATTCAAGAATAGGACGTTTCAAAAAATCTGGCGTTATGACAGAAAATGTATAAGGTAAGAGGCGTACAGGCATGGAAGAGTACTTGGGACTCTGCAGAGATGGTTGAGGAGAAAGAGAGAGAGAGAGAGAGAAAGAGAGAAGAGTGAAAGACAAGAGTATGAAGGCCCTTGTGAAGGCTAGAAGCAGTGAGTTGTGAAATAGCGTGATCATCAAATTCGATAGATATGGCACATTGGAAAGGAAGTTCAATTTTCTTTTTCTTCCCCATGAGAAAATATATGAAGATGGGAAAAAATAAATACGTTGACAATATTTAATATGCATTTATTTCTAATAATCATCGAAACTATTCAATTTGAATAGTGTATCCTGTAACTCTAAGATAATAAAAAAAAAAAGGTAAACCACATCATAATAATGATGATGATAATAATGATTATGAAATTTTTTTCTAATAGAATTTTGCACTTTCTCTTAGGAATCCCAAAGTTATCCTTATTTTTTTCTCCAGATGTATATAGGATGTATTATTTCATTCACTCATTTAGTGCAGCCATATGTTGGATTCAAAAGTATTAAGTTTTATTGTTTTACATGTTGATCTAATTTAAGAACTTAAATCAGGGACCTTTGCTACTAAGTTAGACATTTCCAACCTGCGTTGAAGTGTCCTATCATCATCTTGATGTGGTCTGTTCTCTTATTTTAAAGCTGTATTAGATACAATTAGGAAGCAATGGTTTTTGATATTTCAACGGTTGTTTGCTATATATTAAGCTTCCTTTTTAGCATAAGTGACTTTGTCTCTACCTTTTATGTAAGTTGTATGTAATTTGTCTTGTTTATTAACAAAAAAATGTCTGCATTGTAACATGAATGTATAAGGTCAACTTATGAGTGTAAAGGAGATGGTGATTATATGTTGTAAGCCCCCCCCCCTTCTCCACCCATCAGTTCCAAGTACAGGCGAATAAACATGATAACTTTATCTTTTAAATTGATGGATAATAAGATATTATAAATACATAATTGCTCAAATCTGAAAGGCTCATGGACAAGCGTAGGCCAAAGTTCGCCTAATGCAGGAAGGGGTAAGCATAATACCCTTTGCAAACCTACACGTACCTTGGAAGTTGTCATCAGCACTAAGCATGACCTCCACTCCTAGACTGCCTTGGTAGAAGCGGCCGATGGATGCATCGACTATGCCAGTGACTCCTCGAGCTTGCAACACCCTGGGCAGCTAAATGTATGAATTTTACAAATATTCAAATAATGAGAATTTAAAGAAAAGCTCACCAACATACCCAAAAGCCAGTATCAGTATCAATATGAGTAAAAGGAATCGGTAAGCACAATGTCCGTTATTCTTTATAAAACCTTATCAGAGTCCATAATTTATATCCTGTCTTACACACTGTGCAAAACATGAGACGTGTTTGAAGTTTTACAAAAAGGGTCGTTTCCAATCAAATTATGACAACTATTGGAGGATTATTTTTTTAATTTCTATACTTTCCATGAACAAACACATTCGAGGGGAACACCGAATGGTTTAGGTAAGCTCCTTTTCATGCTATCATATAAACAATATTGATATTTTGTTCTTAATATTTGTTAACGGGTGTAAACAAGAAGCATGTACATGATCACCAGCTACCGGGAATGAACAATGGGCTTATTCGACTGGATGGTGTCGTAAAAGCACGGTCAGGTATATGAACTTTAAAAAAAATGCACCTAGTAACAACATTTGTTAAAAGCATTGACTACAACAAGGTTTTTTTTAAATTAATTTGTTACTGTATTCGTTGAGTAAAATATCTATGCTTTGCAGAGACCCCTTCATGGCTCTTTAATTAAACAGATACAGCATTATACAAAGTATGAATGTCAAGAAAAATATCCACTTTGTTTTCTTTTATTTCTTTTATCATAATTTTATTTTAATGATTTATGTTGATTTGTCAAAATACATCATTCGCTGTACACATGCATTGTTTGTTCCCATAAATCATGAGGACTATAAATTGAATTACCCAACCTAAACGCCAAGAGTGGATATTTATTGTAGACTCCTGCATTTTTATTTCCCATTTTAATTAGTTCCTATAGTAGGTCCATTATAAAGTAACTATTTACCACGTAGGCTATAGCAGAAGAGCCTATCTGAAACTGGGAACTCTCCGGATTGAGGTAAGTATTAGCAAAGATGGCAGGAGCTCCATTAAACTGATAGATGATGAATGTAATGAGGAATATCCTTCGTACTGGAGAAAGTGAAGATATAAAATAAACCAACACAATCAAGTGATTTATAAAGTTTCTTTCATCAAATCATTGTTCATCAGATTATTGCCAAGCTGAAATACAATGTATCTAAAACAAAATATTAATGCAATCAAATCAAATCAAATGGAACATATTTATTGGTCTATGCGTTTATCTTATCGTGGAGACCTAAATTTTATATCATATGTGTATGCAGTCCCATATGATCATATTTGAGTGCAGTACGTGTGGTTCTCAGCAAGATTTATTTTCTTTTTCTTTTCATTTTGATCATTCCAAACACTCACAGAATTCTTAAATTCTTATGAATTACTAATGGAATTTCCCCCAAATACGCTGTCGCTCATAAAGGTGGATTTTTTTTTACCCCAATTTATCGAATTATTTTAAAAATAATTTAAAAATAATAGATCTAGATAATAGTATACATTCTCAGATTTTTATTGAATAACAATTTGCCAATGTGTGTTTTACGTGACTGCTATGCTTATCAACTAGGGGACTTACGCCCTTTGTTGTTGTTTTTTTTTAATTTCCGTATAACAAAATCAGATACAAATACATATAAAGTGATCATACATAGAAAAAAGGGACCGTATACGGCTGGTAGCCCATTTTTTTTAGCTGCAACTATAATTGTTGCTGCTGGTCTTCCAAGTCATAAATTACAGTAATGAGGATTAATACCCTACAAAAATGCACTAATATAGCATAAACAAATTTAAAAAAAGAAAATGCAATAAATGTTCAATAATTTATTGCATTTTACCCCGGTCCCCAACATAAAAAAAATCTCTGGACGGCCATGCATTATGGCTCAAGGCATGGGCACACAGAAGATTTATGTTGGGAACCGGGGTAAAAGCAATAAATTATTAAAAATTTATTGCATTTTCTGTGTTTTTTTTTTATTTATGGAAACTGCCCCCTACCCTAGCTCCCGCTGTGTACAGTCATGGTTCAGTGACAAAGCAATGGCCTCGTAACTGTGAGGCCCCAGGATCGAAACCGTGTCGATGTGCTATATTACTGCATTTTTGTGGGGTATTAATCCTCATTACTGTAATTTATGGCTTGAGGGCGTAAGTCCCCTAGTTGATAAGCATGGTAGCATACACATGCTTTAGCAGTCCCACAAAACACACATTGGCAAATTATTATTCAATAAAATCTGAGAATGTAAACTATTATCTAGATTTATTATTTTTAAATTATTTTAAAAATAATTCCATAAATTGGGGTAAAACTAAAATATTCCAACTTTATGAGCGACAGTGTAGTTTCTGAACAGTTTTTTTTCTCGCAATGTACTGTACGATCTCTTTAAGGATTTAAGCATACCCATTAATACCATTCTATATCTTAAACTTACTTGGGACACAGTTCAGCTTAGCTGACGACCCCTGGAGCGGCCTGTATCCTGGACGACATTCGCAAGAAGCTTCCCCGGTATTAGAGCGTAAACAACGTTCCCGATCGAAATTGCATGAAGGAGAACAGTCACCTTTAAGAGAGAAGGGAACAAATATGGTGAGAAAGAGAGGGATATTTATATCCTCTTCTCTCCGTTACCTCCTCCACCGTGTCCACCTTTCGTTCCTATCTCTCTCTCTCTCTCTCCTTCTCTCTCTCTCTTTCCTTCTCTCTCTCTCTCTCTCTCTCTCCCCTCTCTCTCCTATATTTGCTCCTCAATCTAGTCTCCTTACGACCTTTTTCTCTCTTCTCAATCTTTAAATGTCGAATCCTTTCTTAAGTTTTCCCTATTACTAGGTAATTTATACTCATGCTTTTTTGTTAATGTCATGATTTCGTGTGAATTTGTGTACATTGTGTGACGTATACACCTAAGTGTTTATCAATTATTTTGTAACTACTTTGTATTTTGTTTATTTGCTGCCAGTGGAGGCCAATTTTCTATGTTTTAAATATATGGACCAATACAACTATCTATTTATCTATCTATCTATAGATATATAAATAGAGATAGAGGCAATGGGAAGGGAGAGAGAGAGAGAGAGAGAAATAGATAAAGAATATGTGTGTGTGTGTGTGTGTGTTTGTATAATTATGTATGTGAGCGAGGGATAAGGAGAGACAGCATGGGAAAGAGGAAGGGGCAGGGAGCGGAACAAGTGAAATTAAACCTAAAACTAATGAAATGGAACTAAACAATATAATCGGGGTAAGGGACATATAAATCAAAAGCTTTGTTTACTGAAAAACGTGAAGAGGACTTTTTGTGTATTAAATTTGATTTGATGTCCTCTTTTTTATCGTTTGTGCACAAATATATCATATCAAATACTAGGCTTAATAGTATAATCAAAGGGTAGAAAAATCGATTACATCACTCAAATACTAATCAGAATCATGAAAATATCAAATGGTTATACAAGTACTCTTTAGCTAACAAAGCCCGAGATTATTTAAATAATTGTTGAACACTTGAAATTATTATAACTGAATATGATAACTGAACAATGATTTTACCTAGGCATATTCCGTCCACCAGAACAGTCCCAGCTCTGCAAGCACACTCGTTTTGAAAGCAGGTTTGACTTTCATCGCAGATAACACCATTACAGGTCAGATCTAAAGAATAAAACGCACAAAGTGAAAACGAGGAGAACTACATTTTTCGGAAGATAGATCAGTATAAATCAATTGTTTAATGCGATGGAACTTTTCCTACTCTTATATAATTATCCATTTATTTCGACTTATTCTCTAAATCAATGGTCTATCGTTTGTGCATTACCAATCGATTGAAAGAAGATATTTCAACGTCATCAGAATGCTCAAGGTCTCATGACCGCTACTTAGGTTCGGTAAGTGACAAGAGCAATAGGGATAAACACTGGTGGATCAGCTCGACCAGATTTGTATAAAAAATAAAAAAAAACACGTGGTCGTAAACGGTTTTGATCCATATCGAATAACGCGTCAAAACGAAGGGCCCGTGTGTTTTGAATGAAATCCACATCACAGTCTTCCGCCATTACCTCTCTCACATCTGGATCCGGTATATCCTGTCGGGCATGTACATGTCAGGTACGTTGGTTCCTCCATGCACGTGCCTCCATTGAGACAAGAATCAGATGCACACCCAACAGTAGGAGCTTCTGTATGATAAAGACCAAGGATATGAAGGAAGAAGGGGGAGAGCAAAGGTAGAGGTAAGGGTGGAGGTATGGAAAGGGAAAGAAAAATATGAGCAGTTGTTGATTAAATTATCATTTATTTACTTTCATTTATTTGATGTATCCCTCTTTGTTAGATTGTAATTAAGATTGGAAGCAAATAATGCAATCGTCATCAGTAGGACTACATGGTACTTCTGTTAATTATATATTGATTAACTTCAACAGCGAAATGTGTGCCCACGGTAAAAAAAATCTTAACACGATGGTAATCATTTGTTCGACCAAGATGTTTGTCTAAGATTCTTGGTCCGACAAACATTTGAACATTTATAATACCAAATTGGGCGATTTTGCCCAATTTGTAGTAAAAGCTGATGGTGATTAGGTAAACCATATATACCACATTGGGGATGAAATTGTCCTAAAATTGATTTGACACATAATTACTCCCATGTTGGGCAAATGTTAGTATTTAACCCTTTACCTTTACAGTATAAAACCATATAACCCTTTTGATCTTACCTCTGCACACTTTGGATCCATTTACTGTCGCAATCTCGTGGCCTTCATAACAGTTACACTTGTAAGAGCCGATATTATTCAAACAGAAACTGTTGGAAATGTTCGCACATGGGTCACTTTCTTGGCATTCATTTACATCTGCAATGGAAGATTAAACAGGTTAAACAGAAGAAGAAATTTAAAGCATGTAGCTGCATTTATTAATACCCATGTATAGACGTGGATTCCTACCCAGCGTAAGTTTTTCCCTGCATTAACAAATATTCTATAAATATTTAACGTACACCATTTGTTGTCCATACGCTCTTACTCGGAAAAACTTGCCACGATTAAGTTAACACGACCTTCCACTGAACCATTCTTACTCACCGTTACTTCCGGAAGTGGTGGCGCCCGTACAAGCCGACCTGTAGTGTAAAAGTCGTTATGCTACGTTTACACTATGTTCCCGGCGGCCACGGCAACCACGTTTTAGGCCACCGTTGACGATACGGGATTGACGTGACACAACGCGGGGGACCGTATGGGCAAACGTGACAGGCCGTGATTGCCGTGGATACCGTGTCAGATTTTTAAACTGTCAACACATTTGCCACGGCAGTCACGGTGCGGATGAAAAACATAGTAGGCCGTCGTAAAACGGGGTGGACGTAACAAAACAAAACGTGATCCGTAGTGGGACGGGAGGCCCGCTCATTCCCCGGCATCGTACGGTCTGTTCAAGTTTTGTCACGGTCTGCCACGTTTAGTGCACGTTTTGTCACGGTTGCCTCACGGTTGCTGCGCATTTTCTCACGTTTTGCCACGTTTTGCCACGGTTTGCCACGGTTTGCCACGGTTTGCCTCGGTTCTCACGGCAGGCCAGGATGTATGGTAGCCGTTTTGTCGCGTTAATCAATACGAAGAAAGAAGGTCAAGCTATGCCACCGAAGAAGCCAAGTCGTTCGAAAACCCTCCGCCCTGCACCACCACCACCACCAGTAGTTCTTGGGAGGCCTTCTTTTTATACCGTGGGCACAACCGTGCTCCAAAGCTGCCCGGCGTCCACGTTTCATCCGTAGAAAGCCTTGACAGAACGTGAAAAACGTGTCAGAACTTGATAAAAACGTGAGAAACGTGAAGGACCCCAACAGAACGTGAGGGATCGGGAGGGAACGCTCTGTCATCCCTGGTAGCACGCGGGCCGAACCGCAGTGCGCCTTGGAGCCTCCGGGACTCAGCACCCCCCCCCCCCCCCACGGCCCGTCACGGATACCGTGGTAGACCGTGAGAAAACTTGGCAAGACTTAACAAAACTTGAATCCAGAGATAAAATTGGTCTAAACCCCAATGCGCACTACGTTTCGGGCAAACGGGGCTGCCGTGGCCGCCGGGGAAACGTGTAAACGTAGCATAACAAAAAGTATATCAATGAAGCTTTTATGAATCAAATTACCATGATTTCATCCAATTGGATCCAATTATGGACATTATATACGATATCGGTAGATCAGTTTACAAGGTAATGGAACCTGTTTCTCAATAATACTGTAGTAATGACACAACTTTGATAATGTTTGAGCTTTGGTTATGCATTCCTTTCACTTGTGCTAAGTCATCCGTGAAATAATGGATTCAAGGTCAGCAGAGTGTCAGGAGATTATTTACCAGCCCAAGACTTACACACAGCACGGACATTCATGAATTTTACCATCTCTCAGTGCACATTAATTTTTTTGAATTTTGAACTGCAATCACAGTTCCTTCTGGGTAAATTCGTTCAAAACTTTGCGGTTCAGAAATATATAATGAGTCGCCCAGGGAAGAATTTTCTTATCATGTTTACTTCATCAGCTTAAATTTCACCAAGAGCCCAATGTTATTTCCCCCGAATTGCCATTTTCTCAAACTTGAAGTGTTTCTGGGGAAAGGTACATTACAGCCCAGCAACAAAGAGTCCCCTAAATTAAATAAAATCGAGTTTTGAAATATGGAGGTGTTTTTTGTTTTGTTGGTGCAATCGAGTCGTCGACTGCTGATGACCCCCGTAGACAAATCATGTCTAAGCTACTTTGGCCTGTTTACTAATGCACATCTCTCTGAATGTCTTGTCTGTTTCTTCTGTCACACCTTCTATCCATCATTATTGCCTTCATCTCCATTACAAATCATTTAAGACGTATAACTTGCAGAGCTTGGGCTTCATCGCGTTGTGCTATACCTAAATTGGGCGAATCTCTTTAAATATATGCTGAAAACTTTAAAGATTAGATAAAAAAAGGGATAGGTATCTTTTTTATCCATAAAAGTTACCTGTTTCACAAATGATTCCTTTATAATTGGCAGGACAGAGACAACTATCATTTGAACAGGTTGCTCCATTAAGACAAGAATTGGTTCCGCAGTCAACTGTATGGAAAATAATGAAGGAATTTCTAACACATTTTAGTGTGTCTTATTATCTAGACAACAATACATAACAAAGATTGTTCACACAAAGGACATTGGACCATTTCAGATTTCCTTTTAAGTCTTGCATTCAAAATTTAACTTTTTAATTCTACTGTGCTGTGTAAAAGTTGATTGTTATGTGCATATGCAGAAATATCTGCAGCCTTAGAGATCTCGTCAATACAATTCGTATTATATAACTTATCTAGCAGAGTAATGGATGATATTATGCACGGTATGTGCAGAGTAAGACGACCTAACGGTTCGCTTAAATGACACATGCATATCTAAATCGGATGTACTGTACATGATCACCGAGAGGGCTTACATCATCATTGATTGTGCGGTGGTGGGATAGTATTTCGACTCTGCATGAATGGTAGAGCTATAAAAAAAAAACTCCAACACTTTACATCGGTAATTTTTTTAAAATATGATGAGAATTTTTACTAACCACCATTACAGGTACTTCCAATGTAACCGGAAGGACATGTGCATCCACTGCTGGAGCAGTTTCCTCCGTTGTGACAAGGATCAGAGCTACAATTAACTGTGATGATACATGAATAGAAATAGAAGCTGACACTGTATGCGGGTCATGGTGTTTCCGACTAAGATTTTGACACGATACATATATTTGTAAAATGATATATGATGCTGTGATAAAAGTTTGTAGGTTTACAAAACTATGGAATTGAGGATAGTTTCACAACAGTTGCATTCAGTATTTTCTTGTACTATAAAATTGTGTATAGTTTAAAATAAAGAAGATATTACCATTAATAATTGTATCATAAATATAGTTATAATATAGCAAACAAAAGCAACACTCATGACACCAATAAGGACCACAATAATAATAATAATAGCAGTATAACGATACCAATAATAATAATCGTAATCGTAATCACAATTAAAATTGTTTAAAACAATGATGGTAAATTTATCAATGATAGAAATAACATTGAAAGTGAGTATAATTTATTGTTATGACCATCATTACCATTATATTACAGGGGCGGATCTAGCTTTTTGCTAAGGGGGGTTTGACCCAATGACGATGCGACGAGGCGAAATTTTTGGGGTGCTATTTTGAACCCACGTAAGTGATGTTTTCCTGGCATCTATACGTGTTTCTATGCACATCACATTTTTATTACCCCCCCCCCCCCGTAGATCCGCCAATGTATTGTCATTATGATGATTATCATTAAGATAAGTCAGACATTTTCTTAGTTCAAACAACCTACCCTGTACAACAATATACCCTATGCACGTCTTACTCAGCACCTCATCCGAAATCAAGACTGTGTCTAGATGGGTACCGACATCTAGCTTGCTACCAATGGCCATTGTAGGATCCACAGAAACTGCACCTCCGTGGTATCTGTACCCGGAAGTGGACTTTGTGACATCACTGGCCTCTATGGAAGGGGTGTAAGAATATGTGGGCAGTCCCATGTCAATGGCGACCGTTCTGTTCAGGTCTGGGCAATTCACTGGTAGCTCAGTCACTATACAGAGGAAGGAAAACAAATCGAGTTATTCGTTTACTTGGGAGCAAGTTTCAGGGATGGTTTTGAAATAGAGATCCGAGCTAGAAGAGTAGATAGAAGCTATTATCTTTTGGGGTAGTAGCTCATCGGGGGCTTAGGGTTCTTGTATTGATTTTCTACATTGGCCTCGCGAAATATTTGAGGGCTTGAAGGTTTTTTTTAAGGGGGTGGAGCTTCAGCTGCCCAGAACCCCCCCCCCCCCCCTCCAAAAAATCCCTTTAGAACTGCTACTTCAAATAAGATCTAAAATTACATTGTATGCACAAACCATCTAGAATTCTAGATACTTACGCGTATTTTCCACGTAGAAAAGACATGTCGCTCTGTTGCCGTGTAGGTCGACCGCGTACATCGTCACTGGGGTGCGTCCGGGCGGGAACAAATCTCCGCCTGGTCCTTTGGTTACGTTATAAGTAATCCCACTGGGATCAGGGTTTGAATCCTCGTACGTGTACGAAACACCCACATCCAGTCCAAGAAAACTGTTCGGTAAAAAGGGCCTCGTTGTGACGTCATCACACGTCACATTCGGTGGAGTGGTGTCTGAATTCGAATTGAGAAGAACAAAAATTAATAATGAATTTTCCGGGGGCATAATAATGCCTTTATTTGTGTCCTAACAATAACATGTATATTGGCTGGATATATATTTGCTATACATATATTGAGCAACAGCGAACAATTAAAGCTTATATGAAATGTTTTATAGGAGGGATTAGACCATCCTGTAAGGTCACTGGACATGATAATAATCATAAAAATATAACTGGCATTTATAGTAGACTCCACATAATACACAACTTTATCACAGCGTTTTTTAAAATAAATGACACATGATATTTAATTGAACTTCAAATAAATACAGAAAGGAGATATGATGTTACACATAAATAATCATCGCGATGGTACTACTACTAACTAATGTAACAATCACAATAATTTAATTCAAAATGATGGTATGGATCATAATCATATTACCAATGATGAGGTTGTTGAAAATAACAATTATACTTCTACTACTATACTACTACTACTACTACTACTACTACTACTATTATTAATAAATAAATACAATAACAAACTAGATTTGTAATACTTGTTTGAAACAAGTATAGGTGGGCTGGTCCAACTAAAATTTAAGACAAAATAAAGGGCACATTTGAGATAGCATATTGTCTCAGCTACAACATACTCGAAGTTCAGCGTAAACAAAGCTAAAACGACAGAGATATTGCTCGCGAAAGACGGAAATGTAGAATCCAGTTTTGAGAAAAACTCATGTCCCTTAGAGAATACACGCAAAAAGTGAAAAATTGACATGCCTCCTTTAATCGCACAAATACGTCCTGATGCCTTTGTCAAAATGAAAATTTATGGCAGCCATATTTGTAGAACATTGTCTCAGGTAGAACATATCAAAATTTGGAAGAAAATTGATCAATATTTTTAGAGATACAGTCAATTTAAAAAAAATATGCTGACATCATAATATGCAAATTGAAATTTTGAGTTCAGAGGTCATTATGATGACGTCATGAGTTAATTGAGGGTCAAATGAAACATGAAATCATATCTCCAATTTATTTTCTATCAAAATATGAAAACAAAATTGGGGTCACCTTGCAGCCTAAAGAGCTACAATGGATTTTGTATAGGCATGTTTTTGCCCATATATGCTATGTATTACAAGAGCTCGCGCGCACTGAAATTTATGTTAAACGGTCGATCATTCCGTTATTAATAGTCATTAAGAGACAAACATGGTATCAATTTGTTTGTAAAAATATGTGGAATATTATGAAAGAAAAAAAATGGCGATTCTATGTTGTGTAAAAGTTTTACGCGCGAAAACGCGCGCGCATGCGCGTGTGAGCAATTTTTTATAAAATGCTTAGAATGGCCTTAAACGTATGCAAAATGATTTTGAGACGATTTTGAGCATTTTAAAATTTTGCGCGCGCATTTACGCGCGGACGTACGCGCACGCGCGCGTTATTTGACCTGAAATTGACCGGACGGATATTGACCTTGATCATAATAAATATGAATGAGAAATACCTTTTGGTTATGAAGATATGATCATGAGTTGATTTTCGTAAAATTTTACAAAATGGCGCCTAGATGACGTCATCAGTGAAGGTCAATGTTGAAAACGTTATTGTGCTTCGTACATATGCCTATACATATGTGTGCCAAATTTCAAGGCATTTGATTGAGCCATTTTCGTGTTATTTTGTTCACAAAAAAGTGGTTAGAAATAAGAAAAATATTTAATAACTAGATTTGTAATACTTGTTTGGAACAAGTATAGGTGGGCTGATCCAACAAAAAATTGAGACAAAATAAAGGGTACATTTAAGATAGCTTTTTGTCTCAGCTACAACATACTCGAAGTTCAGCGTAAATGAAGCTAAAACGACGTAGATATTGCTCGCGAAAGACGGGAATGTAGAATCGAGTTTTGAGAAAAAATCATGTCCCATAGAGAATACACGCAAAATGTGAAAATTGACATTCCTCCTTTAATCACAAAAATACGCCATGATGCTTTTGTCAAAATTAACAATTGTTATGACTTCATTTGTAGAAAATTGTCTCAGCTAGAACATTTCAAAATTTAGAAGAAAATCAATCACTATTTACAGAGATACAATCAATTTTCCATAAATATGCTGACGTCATAATATGCAAATTGAAATTTTGAGTTCGGAGGCCATTATAATGACGTCATGAGTTAATTGAAGGTCAAATGTGACATGAAACAATATCTCCGAATCATACTCTATCAAAATATGAAAACAAATTGGGGTCACCTTGCATCCTAAAGAGCTACAATGGATTTTGTATAGGCATGTTTTTGCCCATATATGCTATGTATTACAAGAGCTCGCGCGCACCGAGATTTATGTTAAACGGTCGATCATTCCGTTATTAATAGTCATAAAGAGACAAACATGGTATCAATTTGTTTTTAAATATATGTGGAATATTATAAAAGAAAAAAAATGGTGATTCTATGTTATGTAATAGTTTTACGCGCGAAAACGCGCGCGCATGGGCGTGTGCGCGATTTTTTATAAAATGCTTAGAATGGCCTAAAACGTATGCAAAATGATTTTGAGACGATTTTGAGCATTTTAAAATTTTGCGCGCGCATTGACGCGCGGACGTACGCGCACGCGCGCATTATTTGAGCTGAAATTAACCGGACGGATATTGACCTTAATCATGATAAATATGAATGAGAATTACTTTTTGGTTATGAAGATATGATCATGAGTTGATTTTCGTAAAATTTTACAAAATGGCGCCTAGATGACGTCATCAGTGAAGGTCAATGTTGAAAACGTTATTGTGCTTCGTACATATGCCTATACATATGTGTGCCAAATTTCAAGGCATTTGATTGAGCCATTTTCGTGTTATTTTGTTCACAAAAAAGTGGTTAGAAATAAGAAAAATATTTAATAATAAATAAAGGCAATTCTAACGAAATTATAAGGTGGTCTGTACTATATACAGCCCACCTGATAAATAAAGGCAATTCTAACGAAATTATAAGGTGGTCTGTACGTTATACAGCCCACCTGATGATGATCAAGATAAGACAAATAGCGATAAGATATTACTATTAATAATTGTATCATGAATATAGTTATAATATAGCAAACAAAAGCAACACTCATGACACCAATAATGACCACAATAATAACAATAATAGCAATATAACGATAACAATAATAATAATCGTAATCGTAATCACAATCAAAATTGTTTAAAACAATGATGGTAAATATATTAATGATAGAAATAACATTGAAAGTGAGTATAATTTATTGTTATGACCATCATTACCATTATATTACAGGGGCGGATCTAGCTTTTTGCTAAGGGGGGTTTGACCCAATGACGATGCGACGAGGCGAAATTTTTGGGGTGCTATTTTGAACCCACGTAAAGCGTTGGTCACATCCCACCGTGCGTGTTTTTAGTCCGTACGGTTTTTGGGGAGGCCACGGCCGCCACGTTTTTCTGAAAACGTAGGGAGGGAGTGGCAAAGGCAGGAAGGGAGTACCGGCAACGCGCGTCACACGCACTGTGTAAGTACGTGGCCCGCACGCCACGCCTGGCCGTGAACGGTTGCGTGCATCGTACGTTGCGCACGTGGTAAGTGCGTTGTACGTGCTTACAACGTGCTTACAACGTACAGTCTCCGTGCGGTTGCCACGTTATCGTACGGAGGCCGTACTTACAAGTGCTGCTCACGCACGGTTTCCTTACTCACTCGCATGTTGTAAGTGCGTGCACGTGCGATGAACTCGTGTTTATATATAGGACGACATTCCGATGTTCTCCAGAAGTCCAAGCTGTTGCTGCCTCAAGATGCCGCCCATTCCACCGAAGAGACTATCTACTGCATCAGTGCGAACAACGTGCGTTGTAAGTGCTTACTCGGTACGGTCCACGTGAGTTCTGCGTGCTCATTGGATAGCTAAACTGGGGAAGTGGCGAGTAAGCACGGACCACGCACTTATAACGTGCGCCTTTAAAAGACTCACGGAGTCAGTGCGTTGTGCGCTCGTTGGCAGTACCGGGCACGCACGTCACACGCACTGGGGTGAATCGGTAGCCCGAACGCAGCCCGAACGCAGCGAAAGTTCCTCATGCACTAAAAGTGCTACGGTGTGTCTGCGTGCTCCCAAATCCGTACCGAGGCGGTACTCGACACGTACGGATACCCAAATTTTGCCCACGTTTTTGCACGTAGACAGCACGCACTTGCAAGTACGGCGGGATGTGACCACCGCATAAGTGATGTTTTCCTGGCATCTATACGTGTTTCTATGCACATCACATTTTTATTACCCCCCCCCCCCCGTAGATCCGCCAGTGTATTGTCATTATGATGATTATCATTAAGATAAGTCAGACATTTTCTTAGTTCAAACAACCTACCCTGTACAACAATATACCCTATGCACGTCTTACTCAGCACCTCATCCGAAATCAAGACTGTGTCTAGATGGGTACCGACATCTAGCTTGCTACCAATGGCCATTGTAGGATCCACAGAAACTGCACCTCCGTGGTATCTGTACCCGGAAGTGGACTTTGTGACGTCACTGGCCTCTATGGAAGGGGTGTAAGAATATGTGGGCAGTCCCATGTCAATGGCGACCGTTCTGTTCAGGTCTGGGCAATTCACTGGTAGCTCAGTCACTATACAGAGGAAGGAAAACAAATCGAGTTATTCGTTTACTTGGGAGCAAGTTTCAGGGATGGTTTTGAAATAGAGATCCGAGCTAGAAGAGTAGATAGAAGCTATTATCTTTTGGGGTAGTAGCTCATCGGGGGCTTAGGGTTCTTGTATTGATTTTCTACATTGGCCTCGCGAAATATTTGAGGGCTTGAAGGTTTTTTTTAAGGGGATGGAGCTTCACCTGCCCAGAACCCCCCCCCCCCCTCCAAAAAATCCCTTTAGAACTGCTACTTCAAATAAGGTCTAAAATTACATTGTATGCACAAACCATCTAGAATTCTAGATACTTACGCGTATTTTCCACGTAGAAAAGACATGTCGCTCTGTTGCCATGTAGGTCGACCGCGTACATCGTCACTGGGGTGCGTCCGGGCGGGAACAAATCTCCGCCTGGTCCTTTGGTTACGTTATAAGTAATCCCACTGGGATCAGGGTTTGAATCCTCGTACGTGTACGAAACACCCACACTCAGTCCAAGAAAACTGTTCGGTAAAAAGGGCCTCGTTGTGACGTCATCACACGTCACATTCGGTGGAGTGGTGTCTGAATTCGAATTGAGAAGAACAAAAATTAATAATGAATTTTCCGGGGGCATAATAATGCCTTTATTTGTGTCCTAACAATAACATGTATATTGGCTGGATATATATTTGCTATACATATATTGAGCAACAGCGAACAATTAAAGCTTATATGAAATGTTTTATAGGAGGGATTAGACCATCCTGTAAGGTCACTGGACATGATAATAATCATAAAAATATAACTGGCATTTATAGTAGACTCCACCTAATACACAACTTTATCACAGCGTTTTTTTAAATTAATGACACATGATATTTAATTGAACTTCAAATAAATACAGAAAGGAGATATGATGTTACACATAAATAATCATCGCGATGGTACTACTACTAACTAATGTAACAATCACAATAATTTAATTCAAAATGATGGTATGGATCATAATCATATTACCAATGATGAGGTTGTTGAAAATAACAATTATACTTCTACTACTATACTACTACTACTACTACTACTACTATTATTAATAAATAAATACAATAACAAATGATGATCAAAATAAGACAAATAGCGATAAGATATTACCATTAATAATTGTATCATGAATATAGTTATATAATATAGCAAACAAAAGCAACACTCATGACACCAATAATGACCACAATAATAACAATAATAGCAATATAACGATTACAATAATAATAATCGTAATCGTAATCACAATCAAAATTGTTTAAAACAATGATGGTAAATATATTAATGATAGAAATAACATTGAAAGTGAGTATAATTTATTGTTATGACCATCATTACCATTATATTACAGGGGCGGATCTAGCTTTTTGCTAAGGGGGGTTTGACCCAATGACGATGCGACGAGGCGAAATTTTTGGGGTGCTATTTTGAACCCACGTAAGTGATGTTTTCCTGGCATCTATACGTGTTTCTATGCACATCACATTTTTATTACCCCCCCCCCCCCCGTAGATCCGCCAGTGTATTGTCAATATGATGATTATCATTAAGATAAGTCAGACATTTTCTTAGTTCAAACAACCTACCCTGTACAACAATATACCCTATGCACGTCTTACTCAGCACCTCATCCGAAATCAAGACTGTGTCTAGATGGGTACCGACATCTAGCTTGCTACCAATGGCCATTGTAGGATCCACAGAAACTGCACCTCCGTGGTATCTGTACCCGGAAGTGGACTTTGTGACGTCACTGGCCTCTATGGAAGGGGTGTAAGAATATGTGGGCAGTCCCATGTCAATGGCGACCGTTCTGTTCAGGTCTGGGCAATTCACTGGTAGCTCAGTCACTATACAGAGGAAGGAAAACAAATCGAGTTATTCGTTTACTTGGGAGCAAGTTTCAGGGATGGTTTTGAAATAGAGATCCGAGCTAGAAGAGTAGATAGAAGCTATTATCTTTTGGGGTAGTAGCTCATCGGGGGCTTAAGGTTCTTGTATTGATTTTCTACATTGGCCTCGCGAAATATTTGAGGGCTTGAAGGTTTTTTTTAAGGGGATGGAGCTTCACCTGCCCAGAACCCCCCCCCCCTCCAAAAAATCCCTTTAGAACTGCTACTTCAAATAAGGTCTAAAATTACATTGTATGCACAAACCATCTAGAATTCTAGATACTTACGCGTATTTTCCACGTAGAAAAGACATGTCGCTCTGTTGCCATGTAGGTCGACCGCGTACATCGTCACTGGGGTGCGTCCGGGCGGGAACAAATCTCCGCCTGGTCCTTTGGTTACGTTATAAGTAATCCCACTGGGATCAGGGTTTGAATCCTCGTACGTGTACGAAACACCCACACTCAGTCCAAGAAAACTGTTCGGTAAAAAGGGCCTCGTTGTGACGTCATCACACGTCACATTCGGTGGAGTGGTGTCTGAATTCGAATTGAGAAGAACAAAAATTAATAATGAATTTTCCGGGGGCATAATAATGCCTTTATTTGTGTCCTAACAATAACATGTATATTGGCTGGATATATATTTGCTATACATATATTGAGCAACAGCGAACAATTAAAGCTTATATGAAATGTTTTATAGGAGGGATTAGACCATCCTGTAAGGTCACTGGACATGATAATAATCATAAAAATATAACTGGCATTTATAGTAGACTCCACCTAATACACAACTTTATCACAGCGTTTTTTTAAATTAATGACACATGATATTTAATTGAACTTCAAATAAATACAGAAAGGAGATATGATGTTACACATAAATAATCATCGCGATGGTACTACTACTAACTAATGTAACAATCACAATAATTTAATTCAAAATGATGGTATGGATCATAATCATATTACCAATGATGAGGTTGTTGAAAATAACAATTATACTTCTACTACTATACTACTACTACTACTACTACTACTATTATTAATAAATAAATACAATAACAAATGATGATCAAAATAAGACAAATAGCGATAAGATATTACCATTAATAATTGTATCATGAATATAGTTATATAATATAGCAAACAAAAGCAACACTCATGACACCAATAATGACCACAATAATAACAATAATAGCAATATAACGATAACAATAATAATAATCGTAATCGTAATCACAATCAAAATTGTTTAAAACAATGATGGTAAATATATTAATGATAGAAATAACATTGAAAGTGAGTATAATTTATTGTTATGACCATCATTACCATTATATTACAGGGGCGGATCTAGCTTTTTGCTAAGGGGGGTTTGATCCAATGACGATGCGACGAGGCGAAATTTTTGGGGTGCTATTTTGAACCCACGTAAGTGATGTTTTCCTGGCATCTATACGTGTTTCTATGCACATCACATTTTTATTACCCCCCCCCCCCGTAGATCCGCCAGTGTATTGTCCTTATGATGATTATCATTAAGATAAGTCAGACATTTTCTTAGTTCAAACAACCTACCCTGTACAACAATATACCCTATGCACGTCTTACTCAGCACCTCATCCGAAATCAAGACTGTGTCTAGATGGGTACCGACATCTAGCTTGCTACCAATGGCCATTGTAGGATCCACAGAAACTGCACCTCCGTGGTATCTGTACCCGGAAGTGGACTTTGTGACGTCACTGGCCTCTATGGAAGGGGTGTAAGAATATGTGGGCAGTCCCATGTCAGTGGCGACCGTTCTGTTCAGGTCTGGGCAATTCACTGGTAGCTCAGTCACTATACAGAGGAAGGAAAACAAATCGAGTTATTCGTTTACTTGGGAGCAAGTTTCAGGGATGGTTTTGAAATAGAGATCCGAGCTAGAAGAGTAGATAAAAGCTATTATCTTTTGGGGTAGTAGCTAATCGGGGGCTTAGGGTTCTTGTATTGATTTTCTACATTGGCCTCGCGAAATATTTGAGGGCTTGAAGGTTTTTTTTAAGGGGATGGAGCTTCAGCTGCCCAGAACCCCCCCCCCTCCAAAAAATCCCTTTAGAACTGCTACTTCAAATAAGGTCTAAAATTACATTGTATGCACAAACCATCTAGAATTCTAGATACTTACGCGTATTTTCCACGTAGAAAAGACATGTCGCTCTGTTGCCATGTAGGTCGACCGCGTACATCGTCACTGGGGTGCGTCCGGGCGGGAACAAATCTCCGCCTGGTCCTTTGGTTACGTTATAAGTAATCCCACTGGGATCAGGGTTTGAATCCTCGTACGTGTACGAAACACCCACACTCAGTCCAAGAAAACTGTTCGGTAAAAAGGGCCTCGTTGTGACGTCATCACACGTCACATTCGGTGGAGTGGTGTCTGAATTCGAATTGAGAAGAACAAAAATTAATAATGAATTTTCCGGGGGCATAATAATGCCTTTATTTGTGTCCTAACAATAACATGTATATTGGCTGGATATATATTTGCTATACATATATTGAGCAACAGCGAACAATTAAAGCTTATATGAAATGTTTTATAGGAGGGATTAGACCATCCTGTAAGGTCACTGGACATGATAATAATCATAAAAATATAACTGGCATTTATAGTAGACTCCACATAATACACAACTTTATCACAGAGTTTTTTAAAATAAATGACACATGATATTTAATTGAACTTCAAATAAATACAGAAAGGAGATATGATGTTACACATAAATAATCATCGCGATGGTACTACTACTAACTAATGTAACAATCACAATAATTTAATTCAAAATGATGGTATGGATCATAATCATATTACCAATGATGAGGTTGTTGAAAATAACAATTATACTTCTACTACTATACTACTACTACTACTACTACTACTACTATTAATAAATAAATACAATAACAAACTAGACTTTAATTCGTCACTTAGACGAATTAGGTGATACGTATGATATTGGTTTACATAACGAAGAATGCATTTAATACACGATATCATATTATTTTGTAAAATACTTTTCCCATTATGATCTATCCATATGTCAAGTTTAAATTGTGTCGATCCCTTGATCATTATGGATCTAGGGAAGATAGATTAGTAACCGGTTACACCTTTGACTCTAATTTACATCATGAAGAACACATTTTGACGATTTTATCTTATTCAAAGAAATGAAAATGTAATCGATAAATAATTTCAATCATTATGATAATGATGATCATGATGATAATGAAGATGATCATGATCATGAGCGTGATCCTGATATCTTATTGAAAAAATGAGGGGTGATTTAGATAGCATATAGTCTCAGCTACAACATCCTCAAAAATCAACAAAATCCAAGCAGGAATAACGGCGATATTGCGCGCGTGTGCGCGTTTTTTTGCAAAATGCTTTAAATGGCCTAAAAAGGTATGCAAAATTAATTTGACATGATTTTGAGCATTTTTAATTTTTGCGCGCGCGCTGACGCGCGGACGTACGCGTGCGCGCGCGTTTTTTGACCTGAAATTGACCGGACGGATATTGACCTTAATCATGATGAATATGAATGAGAAATGCCTTTCCGTTATGAAGATATGATCATGAGTAAAAAGTACCCAAAAAAAACACAAAGTGGCGCCTGGATGACGTCATGGAAATTTGATGACCTTGAAAATGTTACTGTCACGTCTCATGACAATGGCCTATGACTGTGCTAAAATTGAAAGAAATTGATTGAACCGATCTTGAGTTATCCTGTGAACAAAAAAGTGTGAAGAAATAAATAAAAATAAAGAATAATAATAAATAAATAAATAAATAAATAAAGAAAGAAAGAAAGAAAGAAAATTCTGACGAAAACAATAGGTGATCTGTCGTTGACAGACCACCTAATAAAGAAAATCTTGACGAAATCAAAAGGTGATACGTAGACTTCGTACGTATCACCTAATAAAAATCTTGACGAAATCAAAAGGTGATACGTAGACTTCGTTACGTATCACCTAATAAATAAAAATCTTGACGAAATCAAAAGGTGATACGTCTACGTACGTATCACCTAATAAATAAATAAATAATAAAAATCTTGACGAAATCAAAAGGTGATACGTCTACGTACGTATCACCTAATAATAAAAATCTTGACGAAATCAAAAGGTGATACGTCTACGTACGTATCACCTAGTAATAAAAATCCTGACGAAATCAAAAGGTGATACGTCTACGTACGTATCACCTAATAAAAATCTTGACGAAATCAAAAGGTGATACGTCTACGTACGTATCACCTAATAAAAATCTTGACGAAATCAAAAGGTGATACGTCTACGTACGTATCACCTAATTAAGGAAAAATTTTGTTGATAAAAAACAGACAGAAGGAAGATTAATACAATTAAAGGATAAGATGTGGAAACCTAAATTTCAGCATTTTATTACTTTGTTTAAACCATCTACTCTAGATTTTTTTGATTTTTTTTTTATAAATATGTGATTTATAAGAAATTATTTGAGGTGTCATAGTATGGTGGTTAGGATATGTGATTAATGAAAATTACATGTCAATCAATAATTTCGATTAGGCTTTTTTTCGGAAACTAATTAGGAGTACCGATTGGCGTAAAGCGCGTAGAATTTACTACCTTGTGGCCTAAAAGTGATATACCTACAAACAAAGAGAACACATTTCTCTTTGACCAACTCCTTTCCCCAAATGTGTTTTGTTTTTTTGGTTGTTTTGAAATGTTTTACTAAACGCTTTCAAAATGAAAATATTGCTTTATATTTCTAACACGGTCGCAATGATTAGACTTCGTAGAAATTACCTCAAGGGTATCCATAATATAAATGAATATAAATGATACGTTCAACAAATACCTGTGACTTGAATAGACAATGTTATTTATGTTATTAATGTAAATTACCTAAAATATTTATTTGTTAATGTGTTTCAAATGAAAATCAATAAAATCCCTGTGGAGGGAAAAATATGAAAACAAATTAATTTAACCAGTAATATTACAAACGTCTACCCAATTTAATTTACTACAATAATAATTGTTTCAATGTATGATGTCATGTTTACCTTTCCAGTTGTTAATGATGACCTAGTATGTGTCAATGTACCTTTTATAACCTTATTTCATGTCTTCTTGTAGTTTACCTGTTAATCTGACAATAAAACCGAAATTGAATTGAATTGGATGGCAATTTTAATACCCTCTTGTCCATCCCATAGGAATCATGTTAATATTTGCACATTACAACATGTGATGGAATAGGCTATCGCGATTGCCTTTACTTGATTTTTCGAAAGCTTTTGCGATACTGTTGTTCTAACATTTATGCAATAAATCTTTAACATAATCGTTGCGCCTTCAGATTTTCGTTTTTTTCAAAGAAATCCTTACCTGTAGCTGATGTGATCATAACCAATGTTAGATAAACACAGGGAAGGAAGAGCGAGGACTTCATGTTGATTCCTCACGCAGGCGAAATATAATACCCAGTCTTAACAGGCATAGAGAGGTAGAGAGAAAGAAAATGCAAGAGATGTGGAAAAAAAACTCATTCTATTTAATAAAGATTGTAAACCACCCTCCTTCCCAACCCCCCCCCCCCCAACCCAAATTTGAGAACCTTATTTTTGTGTTCGTGACAGATCTTGTATAGTTACTCCGCTTCAGAAATATTTGATAAATTGTTCTTTTTATCAGTGGCACCTTTTTTTAAAATACGCTATGCCAGTTGGTTATTCATTGAGAAATGATAAGAAGTGTAGTTGTCAAGCATAATAACGAAAATCAATTAAGATAATACAATAAACTAAGCAACCGCTAAAATAATGTCGATTTAAAAATTATGGTTATATCATATTTTGCTGCTACCTGTTTGGCGTTCAACAATAAGGGATAGAGCAACGTCGATCTGGCGCTGCTCAGTGGCTGCCGGGCTCACGATCAATTGGGCAAAAAAGAATTTCCATTTTCGGTTTAATAAGATTTGGAATGGACTTTAAAAGATTATTATTATTATTATCATGTTATGTTAAGGAAGAGAGAGAGAGATAGAGAGAGAGAGAGAACATGATTTTACTTACAAACAAAGTCAATCAGGTTTGCACAGTGCGTGCGTTCTCTTTCACCAAGTGATAGTCGTCCTCCGTATAAATGTGTTTAAATGTCAAACATTAATCATTAACAGCACCAGAGGAAAATCCAACCCTTCTTCAAAAATCCTTTTCGGAAATGAAATGAAAAAAAGAGAGAGAGATCAAATTTCTTCGTGTTTTGTCACACAAAGGCAATGATGACATTGTCACTTGCGTTTCTCTAAAGAGACTCAGCATGTATTGATCTAAAATTGAAAGATTGAGGCTAAAGCGTGTACAGTAAAACCTAAACGTCCCCACAAAAATGCCCTACCCATCCGATTAACATGATTAAAATAGTTTCATTCCGTAAATGGGGGAGCAATTAAAGCTACTTCGAAATTAATGTAGTTGCAAAACAGTTCGGATGAACTGGGTAATTAAAATATTCTTTCACGACACACCTATCTAAATCGGAGTGCAGTGACGTATCTTTTGATAATGGAACCCCGAGCTAATTACAATAAATCTGTGAAGCCGTCCAATAGCATATTGTGAGCTTGGCATCAGGGGAGGGGAGGGGGGGGGGGGGGGGGGGGGGGGGTGACATCTGAGCTTTTATTTTTTTTCGCATTTTAAACCTTTTAATATAAATGTGCATTTTTCCTTAAATTCGGGCGTATATAATGCTCACAGCCCCTAAACTTCTTTCTTTTCTGGACTCTCACTTTCTATCTTATGAGTTGTTTATGTCTTTTTTGTTTGCCCCTCCTCCCTTCGTCCCCCCTTGATACACAAATAGATCGGAGTAGAAACAGAGTACAAAATAACAGAACTGACGTCCAAAAGGCAGTAAATATTTGATATCTTTTAAAAATAAATTTAGAAGCAAAATGCTGCTGGTTTCATTATGAATCAGTAATTTCGGTATGTGAGCACAGAAGTAGAATTTATATTTGCATGGTTATGAGTCAATTGCGGTGTATTGGTGTAAGACCATTCCTGCCAACCTTCCACAGCCAAAGAAACCCATGAGGAATCTCTGAAGTAAAAATTAGGAATAGAGTGTGTTTTAAAAGCTTTTACTCAGATGTTTTTAGAAAACGAGTGGCATGGGTTTCATAACACTCGATTGAAGACAGAAAATAGGAGTGATTACTCCAAAAAAGGGATGGGTGGCAGCTATGTAAAACGCCACTTACAATTACTCCCCGACGCTCTGCTAGATACTACTGGCAACGTCAGGCCACTTGAAGCTCGTTCTGAAGAACCCCGCACTTTTGTTTGTATCTGAACGGCACGTGAAGTTTCCAGCAGGTAGATTAATTACAGGATAATAGGGGTGGCTGGTGACTTTCCGAAGTACCCAGTCCCAAACCAGACAAGTTGAACAGGATTCATTCCTGGTAAAAAAATAGGCATACAAAATAGATGATCTTTTCTAGGAATCAAGTTACTCTTTTTGAAAGATTGATGATAAACGGGGAATAGGTGAATCAAGAATTGGGATGGTGTGAGTCTTGATAGGTGATACA